GTTCCATGCCTTCCACACAGCAGAGTCTGGAACTTACTCATCATACAATCTCTTTTTGCCCTTCACCCTTCATCTTTCTGTAGTTTCTCAGTTAGGACAGTGGGCTTGCGCCATAACAGTTTGGGCTGAAGGTTGGGGAGGGCGGGACTCATGTGGAACCTTATCTGCAGGCCTGGTAGCATGGGTCCCTGGAGGCGACATGGTGGCTCAGTAAGGACTATTCACTCAGAGATACTTGACAACTCAGGACCAAGCATGGGGAAATCAACAAAGCAAAAATGCAAGAACAAAACTGGGAAAAAAAGTTTAGTTAGGTAAAGGAATGTGGCCAGGGTTGAAATGGGAAAGGCAAAGGGGAAACGAGGGTAAGAAAGCACATTTAAGAAAGTTAAAAGGGTGAATGGTCAAAGAGAAGGAAAGATAAGTGTGTGTAGCTGGTGATCTGTAGTGGCGACAGACACAGGATTTATCAAATATTGTGCGCCATGCAAGGCTCACACCTGCCTTCTGTCTTTCTGTGAGAGTCCCAGTCACCACAGCGTGCATTGCCTTCCTTACTGTTGGTCCTTGGATGTGTGAGTCTTCCCCTTCCTCTCCCACCCCACAGATCACTGGTCAGACAGTGGAGGTGCTCCTGGGGAACTTAGTGTATCAGCTGGCCTGAATGGCAGGGTGTTATTCTCTGCGGCATCTAACTGGTTAAGAAGTCTAAAGAGCTGAACTGAGGCCTCCAAAGAGTCATCAGCCCACAGTCACACAAGTCACTGCCTTGAAATAAAGCTCGTGTATAAACAGTGACCTGTGTGTGAGTTCTTTACCCACGGTTACAAGGAACTACAGATTGGAAACATTTTTACAAATTGAACAAAGAGTTGTATTCATTGTTCTCTAAGCAAAATGTCATGACTTCTAAATTACATTTACTTGTTTATTGAGTGAATGCATGTGTGTGTGTATTCATGAATACATATGGAAGTCAGATGTCAACTTCCAGAGATTGGTTCTTTCCTTTGACCATGAACCAATGTTTGAATGCAAATTACCAGGTTTGACTGCAAATACCTTTACCCACTTGAACCTTCTCACTGGACCAAATTATTGCATAGCGTTTATTCTGTGTTAGGTGTTGTAAGTCACCAAGAGGTGAGTTAAAGTCTTTGGGGGAGATGTGCGTAGGCTTTAAGACAGTTCCACACCAGTTTATTTGAAGGACTTGAGTATCCATGGTCTCTGGTAAGGGGAGATAGGATGGTCAGCAATAAGATCTCCGTGGACACTGAGGGAGGGGTGTGGATGTGTGTGTGTGTCCACTAATAGAATCCCCAAACCACTAATTATGCTTAAAATGTGTGTTAGAGCAACTGAACACTTCTTTCTCTGCCTCATGTTGTCTTACTTCTCTGATGACTGTCTCGCCTCTCCCGGTCCCCAGCCTGATGCATCAGTGTAGATTGTGTTAAGTCCCAGATCTTGAGAAAAGCAGAAGTTTTCCAGAGAAAGGGGATTCCTTACCATTTCGTCTGGGCCCGCCTCACCCCAAGGCTTCTCAGAACATGATACAGAAGCCAGGCTCTGAACCAACAGTAATGGCAGTGTTCACTGCTCCGCATGAGTCTTTAGGACTCTGCTAACCTCCTGGGACTGTTCTTTGTAAACGTGTCTTGAGAAATTTGCCACAAAATGGAGGAAGTACCGATAGCTATTCTGATAAGTATTAAACTGGGCTGGCATCGGGTTCCGTGCTCCAAGCCAGTGTGCTGACCTCTGTCCAGGTCCCAGGAATCATTTGTTAGCATAGCGTTTCAACACTAGCACTTATTTCTACCTCTTCTGCCGCCAAGGACATTTGTGATACATAGCATCATATGCGTTATGGTACAGTTGGGTTGGAAATTTGCTCAGGAGCAGAACTGGGCCAGTGTATCCTGGGTGTCAGGCCTGTAGTGCAGCCTCTGGGGGAAGTGTGCCTGTTTGCCTCAGTGATGTGAAGTTTCAGTCAGCGAGGAACAGGGTTGAATGGAAATACCCGTGGCCATTTTCTTCCTCTAGATTAGCTTCTAGGTAAAAACACAAGCTTGAGGAATCCCCTTGGAAATTCTACACAGGGCAGAAAGAAATGCAGAAGTGGAGATAAAGAGTGAAGCACTCTTCCCTTTTCTGTCTGCCTCATGGGAGAAGGACGGAGGGAAATTGATCGGTCTCCTCCTCCAGACGACATCAGAAAGAAAGGCAAGCTGCTGGGAATCGATGGGGCACTTGCCCAGCACACGTGAGCCTGGCCAGCTCCCTTCTATTCCCAGCAAAAAAGGAAAAACAAAACAAAACAAGAGTTCGCTACTTTGGGTAGCTCATTGCTTGAAAGTCTTGAAAATCTTTTAACGTTGGCTCTAAAATGAGTAAACCCAATTGTAGAAGAAAGAGCTGGATCGCGTTGCAAGCACCTAGTGGTGTCTGTGTTTGTTCCTGTCACAGGTTGGAGGCTAACGTGAAAAAACGTCAGGCATTTTGGAATGCTGACCTGAAACTCGAGGCTGAAGGAGGGGGTCTTCAGGCCACCTGGCTGCCTCTCACCGCATTCTAGGGCTCTCAGAGTGCAGGAATCCCCCCACCCTCACCTCGAAGGCAGGCTAGGAGAGCAAGAGCTTGCCAGGTAGGAAGAAGCAGCTGGGAAGGACAGTTCCACACCGGATGGGTCTCTAGATGGTTCTGGACATTAATGGAGGCCTTCCAGAGATTCTCTCCTCCTCGGGCCCTCTCCTTTCTTTCAGCTTTGTTTTGGGGAATGAAAAGAACAGCACTTGTCAGCATTTGGGTGAACTGAATAAATTCCTTTGCTCTTCTATGCAGTCCAAATAAACCCCCGGTAGGGTGGTACCCAGTGGACCCACATTGCCCTCCATACATCACGGCACCCTGTGTTTGGAAGGAGAGTGATGAAAACTTCCTTACGCAGTGCTGGTGCCCAAGGCAATGAGGGTGATGCAATGCTCTGGGGAGAGGCAGAGCATTGCCTAATAAAGTAGAAGATGGAGCATGGTCCCAGCACTTGTTCTGAGACGTAGGCTGGGGTTCTAGAACATTCTCTGTTGCCTTGTGTACAGGAGTTGTCCATCAGAATCAACAGGAATAAACGAACTATAAGCACACATAGAATAGATGCCTCTTTAGTTTTACTCTTGGGGTGCTGTGGATGGAACCCTCTTGTTAGGAAGGCAAGCCTCATCCTCCCCCGCCTCCGTGTGTACCTTAAAAACAAAACTAAGTCACGTGAGAATGATACCATGCAGCTGCTTGGTTAGAAATGTGCAGAAAGTGATCTCTTTCGCTGAGGGGCATAAACTGAGGGCCGGTCTCAAAAGCCAGGACGTGGTTATTGCAGAAGGTGGGTGTTGTCGTTAGGAAGACAGTGAGCAGGTGCCCATGCCTCATCTTATCACAGTTCTCCGGCGGCATGTACGTCTTGCGCACGCGCAGTCTCTCTGTGCCTGCAGCTGGATGGAAAGTGGCTCTCTAAAGTTGGGTTGCGCAGTCAGACATGCCTCTTGTCATTCCAGGGTGGTGGGTTCTCCTTCATTTTGATTCTGCAGCTCTATCCTCTTGCTGATGCTGTTTCAAGTGAACTGGGGTGATCCAAATGCACAGGACCCAAGACTCCCCATGCCTTGTATTTGTTGGGGTACAGTGTGTGGTGGCAAACCCACTTTGCCAGCCCCTCTAAGTCTTGTTACTTTTGGAGTCTGGGAAGTGGAACGTGCCAGCTGACCAGGCCAGCAGGGGGCGCTTCAGCCTCTGAGGCCCAAATCCCAGGGGCATCTGAAGGACAGAGGGTTCCTCCCTGTGGAGCCATGAAGACCATGATGAACTTTCAGATTCCTTTTTCAGTCTGGCAAAGGCCCATCCTTAAGAAGGAGGTCAGACAGTCCTTTCAGGGAGAGATCTAAAACCCAGACTGAGGTGACATGTCTGATGGGTTGCTTGCCTGAGCTTGTCACCAGGAGCAAGGTACACGGGGTGACAGGGTATGCATGGATCTCCATATAGGAACTGGGCTCTCCAGCTAAGAGCTAACAATGGACCCTAGTGCTGCTTATGTGAGAGGTGGCATGGTTAGTGGCCCTACAGATAGCAGGCCCCACAGGGCCCTCCCTAAAAGAAACAGCCCAGGAATGAGGCCCTGGGTGGCAGGTTCCAAAGGGACGTTGCCAGTCTAGCCAGCAGGAGTCTTGGGGAAATGTTTCTTTTTCCTCATATCTGTCTTCCCAAGAGTTGAGATGCCCAAGATACAGAGGTCCCCAGCAGGGAAGTAAACCTGGGATGAATTGTCAGAATATACCACTAATGATTTCAGCCCCATGCCCAGACACACACACACAAATTGGCTGGCTTTCTAAGCACACACACACACACACACACACACACACACACACACACACACACACCAGCTTTCTTCTTGCTTGGCAGTTCACATTTGCAGAAACCTCTAGGGCCCCACCTCAGCAAACAAACCCATCCTAAGCTGTGTTTCATCAAAGAATGGCATTTCCTACAAACTCATTAAGAGCTGGAACAAGGCCTGACTTGTAGGCAGGTGATTCCTGACAGCCGCTTCCCATTCTTTTGAGGTGTTTAAACACACTGCCACCCCCTGATCAAATATCCAGAAATCCTCCTGGCCTTTTCCTTGGGTCTCCATTATCCTTGCTGTCTCCAAAACTCCGGGTGACGTGTGGGGCTGGTGAAGAGGAGAAGGGGTACAGACAGACTGCAGGTCTCAGTATTTGTACCATAACTGTCTTTTTCAGGACCCATGCTTATAGGATAACCTGGCTGTACAAAATCCATTAAAATATTGTAGTGCATTGGCAAGTGGTTTGTTTTGTTTTTGGTGCGCGTGTGTGTGGTTACTGCTTACAAGAAGTTAGAACAAGCTATGTTAACAAAATTGCCTTTGCAAAGAACTCACCTGTGTTTTCTGCCTTCCCCCCCCCCCCCCAATGCAGGAAGGAATAGTATCTCCTAACGACCTGGACCTGGTCATGTCAGATGGGCTGGGCATGCGCTATGCATTCATTGGACCCTTGGAGACGATGCACCTCAATGCTGAAGGTAGGCCTGGGCCAGAGCTGGGGCTCTGTGGTTTTGACTGTTTCTTTGAGCTTTATTATCTGCTAGCTTGGGCAGTTTTTGTTTGTTTGTTTGTTTTGTTTTTGTTCTGTGTGTGTGTGTGTGTGTGTGTTTTGAGACATTGTTTCTCTGTGTAGCCCTTTGTAGACCAGGGTGGTAGCAAACTCACAGAGATCAGCCTGCCTCTGCCTCCCTGAGTGTGGGATTACAGGTGGGCACCATTGGCCCTGGCTGTGCCATTTCCTCCTAAACAGAACAGTAACTGCAGTCTCTAGAAAGGGACTCAGACAGAGTGGAGGCACAGAGCGCTGTGAGCTGAATCTAAGTCTGTGTGGGCTCCGTGAAGCTCAGGGCGCAGGATTCTGAGGAGTCCTTGATGAAATCGAAAAGGAAGAAAAGGAAGTGCTGTGATGGGGACCTTGTTGGGTATCTTGGAAGAGAGGCTGTAGCTTCCTTGAGGTGTTGAAATTGATTACAGAGCAAGAAGGAGGACAAAGACACCAGACAGCGGTGCCAAGCAGACCGCAGCGATGCTTCTGGGGCCATCCTCTGCCTACACAGGCGTGCCTGCGGGTGCTTCCACAGAGCAGTGGGATGGCCTTCCCGAAGGCTAGGAGTCACAAGGCCTTCCAGGAGAGGCCTGGCAGGGTGGGGCAGGCCAGACAACTGTCCTGGAAGCTGACTTCAGAGGCCTGGAGAACTCAGTATGACCTGGTAATTCCAAGAAAGATAACTTGGAAGGATAAGAGTGAAGCAGATTTCCAATGATCCAAAGATGACCAGCTGCTGAAGCCCATACCAAATTAAAACACACCAGTGCAACGGTGTACCAAAATCTGAGAGATGCTACCTACCCGTTAGCTATCTCTTGCCATTAAAATGATTGTAACTTTTTCCCCCTATTACATAGCTCTCGCTAGCCACAAACACATTATCCAGCTGCTGAATTCTGGGACTTTGGGATTGAGCCATATCCAGCACAATGGGAAAGAGTATTTATGTTTTCTTCTTTTCCTTTTGTTTTGCTGGGAAATCAAGTCTAGAGCCTTCTGTATGCCTGGCAAGCACCCCTCCGCTGAGCCTCGAGTAACTTTTATTATCATTTTACTGCTCTGTTGCTGGAAACTCATACAATTACTATATGTTACTTTAACAGAGCCCTCATTAAGTGGTAAAAGAGACATAGAAAGAAAAAAATGGAGTGTTACCTGGAGTGTCAAGACCGTATTTCACAAGTGATATTGAGAAGTGAGATTTCCTGGGAGGCCAGAGGGGTATGAATGGTTCCCATCATTTTGTTTGGTTAGGTTTGGTTTGGAGATAGGTCTCCTGATACTGATAATGTAGCCCAAGTTGGGCTCAAACATCAAATAATCCCACATGCCTCTGCCTCCCTGGGTGCTGGGATTACAGGCGTGTGCCACCGTGCTCTGCTGATGTGCCTGTTTTTTGAGTGGGTAAGCAGACAGGCCTGACTGATTTGACAGAAAGAACTTCGTCGTAACTGGTGCTAGTGGTCCAGGAAGGGAAGGCTCATGCCCTTGGTGAATTAAAGGAGTGAACCCATTACACCAGCTTTGCAATAATAGTCCAAACACCGAGTGTTCCTTACAGGCTAAGAGCAGCCAAAGGAAGGAAGGAGCCTCCCAGTGGCTGCCATGCTTGTGGGAGGATAGCCATTGAACATGAGAAGAAAATACCAAGAGGACGCCTTCATACAAGTGAGATAAGAGTTTTAAAGTATCACTGGAATGGTCTCAGATCATTTCTGATGTCTTTTCAGCCAAACCTTATGAGTGGGGAGCATAGCCAAGCATTTGAAATGGACATGGATTCTGCCTGATAACCACCATATTTCTCTTTCTTGAGAGAACTGAGAGAGGTGAGGCATTGTGAGGAATCGATAGGGAGAGAACTGAGAACAGCTTTGATTCTCAAACAAACAGAAACAGAAGCCGGTGACCCCAGGCATTCCAGGATCAGTGAGGTTGCAGACAGGAAGGAGGCCACAACAATTTTTCAGACAAAACTGATATGATAAGAAAGCTTAATTGGCTTAATATGATAATAAGAGTCGGGTGCAGTTTTCACCTTCTGAGCATTCCAAAGCCTAGAGCTAGAAAGCTAGAAGATCTGGCCGGGAACCAATGGCCCCTATTATTCTGGTGTCACCCAGAATCTATCCAGGTTGGCGTGGGGAAGAAGTTTCTCGGTTTTGTTGACGCGGCTTTTATAAAAGCACCCGTCTTAGGCCAGCAGGAGTTTTTAGTCTTAAAAGCTACCAGTTTTCCAAAGCACGTGCAGATGCTTTAAGGTTATTTAGCTATTTCTAAAACTTGACGATAATTTTGTTCAAGTTGGAGAGAAAACACCAGGGCAGGCAAGCTGTAAAGGCTGGCAGCCACCAGGAGGAGGGGGAGAGTTGAAGAGGACAGTCTTGTCTTTTGAGTTGGGGTCAGAAGAGCCTGGGCAGTGAAGCTGGAGGCAGAAGGTGGGAGAAGCTTCAGAGAATGAATAAGAATTCTCAGAGTTCCAGGGAAAATCTCTGCAGGCTTTGGCCAGTATCTGAAAGAAAGAGGTAAAAAGAAAAGAAAGAATTGGGAAGGCCTTATGGCAGAGGTGCTTTGAGAAGCTGGGGGTGAAGTTGGGGGGAATTTCAATTAGGTAGGAACGCAGTAGGGTAGAGTGATCGCTCAGCCTGTCATCTTTTCTTTTTCAAAACATCCTCTGTGAAATGTATGCTTTCAGGATAGAGGATCTGGCCAGTGAGACAGTTAGCTAACCTCCGCTCTGGCTTTCCCATCTGTTAGCTGCATGCATGAGCTTAGAGCATCCAGTTGACTCTGTGCATCTTGGTTTTCTCATCTCTTCCATGGGGATGACAACCAGTTCTGGCAGGGGCGGGTGGGGGTATGTGTGAAGAGGTCACATGTGAGCACAAGGAAACCACACGGAAGGCAGTTGTCCAGGTGGATTACGTACATAACCCATGACCTTTTGTTTATTCTGTCTTTATGTGGTGGTGTTGCTGGGCCATGGAACCCAGAGCTCCGGGCACGCTACACTGAGCTACACATCCACCATTTGACTGTTGTCTTTATTCAGCTTGTTGTGTTTAATTTATTACTCTTCCAGCGTTTTTTATTTGTTTTTAGTTTTCTTAATTCTCCCCAAAAGATTCACCCAGGCCTGAGGGAGAAATCCATAGTGAGTACAGATGAGGCAGGTTTTGATTGCTGGAGACAGGGAGCCTTAGAATAAGGCCTGGTTTGTTTCTTTGTTGAGCCTCTGGGCCCTGCCCTGTCCCCCAAAGCTCTTTGGACTTTGTGTCTTGCTGTCCCTGCGGAGGGCCAACATCTGAGAATCTTGCAACCCCGGATACCCCTGAATTGGTTGTTTCCTGGCTCCTTGTCTTGTAGATACTTACCTGGTTTTTTTAGCAGGAAGTTTTATTCCTCTGTGTCAAGCCATCATTGCTGGTGGAAACAGCTGAGCTGAAAAGGGGGTCGGGGGGGCTGGTGCTGGAATGGGCCCTGTTACCATGATAATTCTGTCCTTGGAGGACATTCAATATTGTCATTCTGTTTTCGGGCCCTTCTGACCTGTTTTCATAAAGCCTGTGAAACTTTCTCTCAACTCAGGTGAATCCATGTAGGTGGGGGCTCATGAGCTGGGTCAAAACTAGACCCCTCCAAAATAGGTTACAAGCAGGGCTCTCCAGGAAACCCAGTGTTGGGTGGCATCATTCAGGTCTGGATGGTGGGCCATGTTTCACACCGTAAAATCAACAGGCAAGAGGGCTTCCTGTTGGTAGAGGTGCTAGGGTTTAGGAAACCCCATGTTTTACCTGAAGGGTCTCACAGATTGAGAACTGTGATTCAACAAGATAAGCTAAATCTAATCTCGAGAATCAACCCCTCCTGTGTCGTCTTTGTCCATACAAGCATGTCCTAAAAAATTAGGCCCATGGGCCAGAGAGTTGAGAGCAGGGTTAAGAGTCCTGGCTACTATTCCAGAGGATCTGAATCTCATTCTCTGTGCCCACATAGACTCACAACCACCGCACAGACCCAGCAGCCGAGACACTAACATGCATTAAATAAGAACAAATAAGCCTTTAAAAAAATCAGGCTTAGCTCTGCCAAGCCAAGCTTTCCAAGGGCTGTGGAAGAGCAAAGCTCATGTGGACAGAGGACACGAAAGCACAGAAGGAAGGACAAAGGGAAGGTTGGACTGGCAGGGGAAAGGGTGGCGGTGAGCTAACATGGTAAAAGGGTAAGGCCGGGCTTTTTCCTTTCTGGTAGAATTGCTATTTTAGAGAAAATTTCCACTCAGGCTTTTTTTGTTTTTTTTCTCTCTCTCATGTAGAGAAGTCAAATTCTGTTGCACAGGGGGAAGGTTGTGAGTTGTATTATAAGCAGTTTTACCACATTCTATTCTATGTTGAAGAAATAAATGTCCTATGGGAATTGGAGAGATGGCACTTGTTTCTTTTGCAGAGGACCAGGATTCGGTTCTCAGCACTCACATGGCAGCTCAGAACCATTCCTGGTGCCCTCTCCCAAACTCCACACACAGTAAGCATGCACTTGGTGCACACACATACAGGCAGGCAAAACCCTCCTCGGCTCGTTAAATCTGCAGCCATGTCAATTTTCCCCACTTCCTTCTGTGATGGTGTGGAGCGTGGAGTGCTTGGGGACCAGCCTGTGGCGTTATTTGGGAACAAGCATGGGACCTTTAAGACATGGGATCCTGAGCCATCTCAGTTTTCCACCAAGCCTGAGGACCTGATTTGCTCCCCAGGACCCATGCAGTGGAAGGAGAGAGGTAGCTTCCACAACGTGTTCCCTGACCTCTACGCATGTGACACAAACACACGTGCACGCATGCACACACAAATGTTTTAAAAGAGGTGGCGTTCATTTAGAAATAAGTCAGAGCACCGGGGGTGTGCCCTTGAATGGGGAGATTGGGAGGCTGGCCTCTCCTTGTCTGTATCCTGGCCGTCATGAGGGGAGCAGCTTCTCTTCATCACCGTGGTGTTCTGCTCACCACAGGCCCAGAGCTGTGGAGAAGCCAACCAGCTGAGCTGAGCTGGGACAGCACGGCGTGGAGGGCTTGTGCACAGCATGGGTATGGCAGGTCTGGCGCTGGCCCTGCTGGTGGCATTGTAAGCGAGTGATGAGCACAGTCCTGAAGATAATCGACACACTGATTATCTTAGGGATCTTGTCAGAATGGTGGGAGCTGACCAACTTTAATCACTTAATGTCTCTCTGATATATTCAACTCTGTGTCTCTTGCCCCTGTTCCAAATGAATACATTGCAGTTGTGGCTACATTTTATTATCATTAGTGTGTGAATAAGCAAATAGGGAAAATGAAACAAATGCTTCTGGTTTGTTGTTGTTGTTTGTTTGTTTTGAAGGGAAAGGCATGTTTACCCCATTTTCTGGACTCTGGCAACTTTAATCCATTGGACAAGACGTTGCTAGGCATTTACAGGAACTTGCCAAGTTCTGGACTACCAAGTCAACACCTGTGCAGTGAGAGCTCCTCTTTAAAAATTAGCCATGGACTAACTGCAGGTGCTAATGGTCAGCATTAATATTTCACCCTCCAAAACAGTTTCTCAAGCTGGGTGTGGAAGGCACACACCAGAAACCCCAGCATTTGGGAAATAGAAATAGGAGGGACTGTGTTCAGAGCTAGCCTTGACTTCAAGGTGAGTTTGAAGTCAGCCTAAACTATATGAGACCCAGTCTTGATACACACACACACACACACACACACACACACACACACACACACACACA